GATGCCCTCCACACCTTGCCACCTGTGTTAGGTGAGAGAGCTGGCCCTGAGGTCATAGAGCAGGAGAGCTGTCACTGCCTCTCATCAGCTGCAGCACTCAGGAGAGTAGCCCCTACACCTCTCCTGGGCACACAGTAGAGCTGGCCCTGAATGAACGGGTGTGGTCAAGCTGACACTGAGTGTGTGAAAGCAGGAGAACCGGCCCCACCTCTTGCTCATCAGTGCAAGGGGTGAACTAGCCAGGGTAATGCTGGAGAGCTCACACTAGAGGTGAGGATGGGGAGGAGCTGGTAGGCTGTCAAACTTTGCAACTGTGCAGGTCCAGAACCAGGGCTATGTGTTGGCCCACCCCAACATCCACACCATCTATGATCTGCTGGAGCACATGAAGGGGCCAGTCCTGCAGACCCAAAGCTCCAGGATCTCCATGACACAGCAAACAACAAGATATCCAAGAGGAGTTCCAGTGAGGGTCCAGTACCAAAAGTGTAGTAAAAACCAGAGGCCTCAAACCAGACTAATGACTCATTGCAATGAGCACTTGCAAGTGAAGATATATGGACAAAAGAGCTTACTGCGTGACTCACGGTGTCACACTGAAGCTTCCATGATGAGATTTTTTTCCTTTCTTCCTTCTTTTTTTCTCTTAAATTTTATTTTATTTTGGAGGGAGGTTGCAAGGGCAGAGGGCAGATATGAAGGGACAGGGAAATGAATGGGATGGAGATGCATGATGTGAAAGACACAACAAATAAGAAATTTAAAAATTCAAAGTGGAGAAAGGAATGGATGTAGGCAGGAGAGCTGAGGCTGAAAGAAGGCAGGGAAGAAGAGGGCAGAGTCACCGGATGCAGAGGGAGCAGGAGATGAAAATACTGTGCTGAGAAGAGGAACCACCACTTGGTACAGCATAAATAAGAAATATGGGTTAATTTAAGCTGAAAGAGCTGGCTGAGAATAAGCTTAATGTATCAGCTGAGTAGTTATAATTAATAATAAGTCTCTCTGTGTGGCTATTTGCAAGCCAGAAGCCTCACCAAAACATTCTGCCTACAACCTATCAATAGTTTCTTTAGACGTAAAATTTCCAATTGATACACAGAGAATACCACAATGGTTTAAAAAGCAAGATCAAGTATAGAGTTACATAGAAGAAACCTCACTTCTCAAGACACACACAGGTTGAAGGCAAAGGTATAGAATAAGAGCCTAGACCTTCTCTGAAGGAAGAGGATTCTAGGAAATGAAATAGAGAAATATACATTGAGAACAAAATTAACTAAGAAAAATGTTAAAAAATCAAAAGACCCAAATGAACAATTTTGGTAAAGTGAACAACTTCTTGGTGTAATAATAGGGATGAAACGTCCAGTCTTACCAGAAGGTATTAATACCGCTGTAGCACCAGTCTGATAATACAGCAGTGTAGAAAGCAGGATCAGTACTTCTGGAAACAAAGGCTATTGTACCTTCAACTAGACACTGATACGGATCTGTGCCCATCATTCACACAGTCTCTGTAAGTCACATCTTTCCTTATTTCTTTCAGGCAATGTTCACTGAACAGTTTCCTCACTATCAGTCTCATCTAGAATCTTTTAGAATCTAGAGTACATACCATGGCATCTATACAAGAATGGCTGCTTTTCAATCTATTCTCTGCAAGGCTAACAAGAGATTTCTTTTACCTCATGGATTGTTGGAATTATAGACATGAGCCACAAAGTCGACTTTCTACAATTAATGTCTGTGAATGTGATTTTTATTCACATATGAAATTAATGAATTTTAGGAGATTAAAATATGGATTAAACATGAATTAGTGTTGGAAATTTGAACATCTATAATCAGGGAAAAAATTCAAAGTCTATGTACCCTTATAGCTTTGAATATTATTGCTTTCTTCACTTAAGTATACCCTACCTAAAATTTGTAATGTCATCTACAAGATTGGCTAAGAACTCAGAATTTTCTTACAAAATTTTCATTTCCATAAATTTTAATTACAGGTTCCTATATTAGTTACTTTTCTGTTGCTGTGATAAAATATTATGGCCGAGGCAGCTTAGCGAAGGAAGAGCTCATTTGGGCTTCTGGTTTCAGATGTTTAGAATCCATGGTTGTGGTGCAGAGATAGCAGGCAGCAGGCACTGGATGCGGAGAGTAGACGATGAGTTCTCACATCTTGAACCAGAAGCAAGAGGATTTTGAAACCTCAAAAATTGTGCCCAGTGACATATTTCCTCCAGGAAGGTCACATCTCTCAAACCTATCCAAACAGTTTCATGAACTGGGGACCAAGTGTTCAAACGTTGGCGCCTATGGAGAACAATCTCATTCAAAGCACCACAACTTCCAAATTCTTTGATTCTCCATTAGTGGTATTTTTAACTTTCTAAAACCCCCCAAGTAACATTTTTTCCTATATGTTTTCCATCCACGAGCTAAAGCTAACAGACCCAGAAAAATAGGCAGCCAGAAAAGAAGAACCACAGTCTATGGCCACAAAGAAACAACTGTTGCTAACAATAAAGTGAGATTAAAAGCTGGTTGTCTCACAGACAAGCCACAGAAAGCCCAACACATTGATTCCATTCTTGTGAAATTTTTTTTCTCGTGAAAAATGAAATGGGAGAATCCAGCCATATACAGTCGGGTTAGACTTCTGACCTGCAGAACTGGGAACTAACAAATTAACATTGCCACAAACTATGGTTCTGTGGAAAGATACTGTACAGCAATAGTACATGGGGGTCACTGCAAGCCTATGGTGGGCAGCAGAGTAATGATCCATGGGAGGCAAGAAAGTCCACCGTGACTCAGTAGTTGGTGTTGGTTCAAACTTAGAGAGTCTGACACTGAGCAGTTTATTTTAAATAGATTCAAGCACAGCACAATTTGGAAAAAAGAAATCCCTGGTGATAAATAACTCAGTGTTGTGTGTACAACAAAGCTTAAGATATGAAGATGCTGAAACTCCCTGTAAAGTACATGTGACTTCTTCCATAAAGATAGGCTCTATAGATTAACTGAGAAAAACCAGCTCATGATAAGGGTCTGGGGGAGAATCCGGTGTTGACTCAGCCACGCAGATAGTACAAAAGTCACCAGGCTATCAACCAGGTCAGCTCCCAGCCTTGTGGGCAGGAAACCGGTTGTACATCTCTTCTCTTGAAGAGACAACACTGTGTGTTTAATATTCCTGGTCCCTCTAGTGCTTATCTGTGAGCAGAAGGACCTCTGTGCCTTCCATGAAAATTAAAACTGCGGAGGATGGGGCCGATACTTGAACATGCCAGCTTTTATGGGAACTAGCATCGTATTTGTGAGAGAGATAAAGCAGAAGATATCCATGCAAAACAGACCATACAACATGGCTGTTAAGCCAGGGTCTGCTTTCTCCAGTAGAGCTGACAGAAAGTGTTCCTCAAGGAAACCGGGCATCTGGTGGAGTGCGGAGTTTATCAAGTGGAACTCTGGATGTGTCAGTGTGTTACTGTTCCCGGGTCATCTAGCAATCCAACCAAACCATACACACATACATCCCAAACCATTCCTGTGTGTTTCCAAACATCCTCTCTCCCAAAGGGGAGAGCTGAACAAAGAATTTCTATGCCTCCTACTGTAGGAGCTGTCCAGCTATTCCTTAACAAAACTTTGCAGATAAAAAGAATGTGTGGCTGTACCAAATGTCATAAAACTGCTTCACTGACTACAATGGTTGCCAAATTGCACAGCCCTGAGAACCACTAGAGGCACTCACTAAAAATGACTCTCCAGTTCCTTGTGTAAAATCTCACCCTTTATATAGATTGGTGTGGGGGTCCAAGCACCCCTATTCTTAGTTGAGTATCCTAAGTAAATCTTTTGCAGTTTGAAAACATTAGGTGAGAAATCTACTTAGCCATACATTCACTTAGTGAAAACTCACTACACTGAACTGCAATGCACCAAAATTCGGAATCTGTGCCTTTTACAGAGCTAGAAATACCAAGCTTTGGACAAGTCTATTATTTAAGATACCCTATGGCTCACATAGTGATTGTCTCTCTTTACCAGAATTACTCGAGACATGCTTCACAGTGTGTGTGTGTGTGTGTGTGTGTGTGTGTGTGCATTGTATTCGTCACATTTAAAGCACAGACTCTGCCAATATAGGAGGTACGTTTTTCCCCCCTCTGGGGACTTAATCTAGGGTCTCATGCATGGTTTGTAAGCACTCTACCGATGGGCCGCATACCCAGCCCATGGAATTAATATTTTTAAGCCCATGCCTCCAATTCTGTGCTTATTGTACTACTTTGGACTTCCTTTACCAGACAGTAGATTTTCTCAGGTGGTAGTGCTATTGACTCCTTCCATTGTTCTTCCTTTAATCCTGTTCTCCTCAGGATGCCTTCTCTGGATTTCCTCCAACCCCAGTGGCAGGTTAACAACCATTCTTGCAGTATCCCTGGAGTGTGCACAACCACAGCCAATGGCATTTTCCATCGTTTCAAAGCTTCTCTGCTAATATCCACACTGCACCAGCAATAAGAATCTGGAACCCAGGGGCTATATGAGAGAGCACAGTTCGTTCTCCCTAGGCTCTCTTATTAATTGCTGGTACTAGACTTTGCGAGTCCTCTCATTCTGCAGCCTATCTCAGCTCTCCCTCCGTTCAGCCAAGTCTCAACAAAATAATAGGATGTATGCTACTGGGGAAGGCCTCCGCGTTTCTAGTAGGATAGACCTGAGATGAGAGTGCCAGAGCTGAGAGCAAATGACTTCCCTGTTATAAAGCCGCTACAGCCCGGCTTTTAAAGGCTGGGGTGAGAGCCAGCGAAAATGACAGAGAGGGAAAGACAGCAAACGCAGAGCCTTCAAATTAACATAGCCCCGCCCCGCGACGCTTGGACAACGCCCCTTTCCACGGGCCTTAGCCCTTCCCACTAGCCTGTCGGCCCGCCCCCGGACCAAACGCTAAGCGGGAACCCACACAGCGTGACGCGGGGAGCGGGATCCGCGGCGGCTCCGTCCAGGTGCTTCCGGCTCCCACCGGACGGAGGCGCGCTCGGCCCCGTGCTCGTTCTCCCACGGAAGTGTGTTTAGGCGCACCGGAAGCCACCTCAGGGGGTGAGCCATGGCGGGTTTGCCTGTTAGAGACCCTGCGGTGGATCGTTCTCTGCGTTCTGTATTCGGTGAGAGGATTTCGGTGGCGCCTCTCCGGGCAGGGAGGGACATCCCCTGCGGTCCCCAGCGGAGCGGGTGTCGGGGCGGGCGTGCCGCTTCGCCGCTGTCCTTTGACGCGGCAGCCCTGGTGTACTCGTGGGCAAACAGACTCCCCCCCTCCCCCCCACGACACCTCGGGCTCCAAGGTATTGGAGATTTTCCGCAGTGTGGTTCAGGGAGCTAGACTCTAGCGTTGGTCTTCTCTGCGTTTTCCTCTTCATGATTCTCAGTTATTTTTTAGGAGAAAAGGTGCGTGGAAACAGAGCGTCCCTGTTCCGTGCTGCTTCTCTTAGCCCAAAATACAGATTTTATTCTGAAGCCATCGACCCTATATCCACTTCCCGCCCTCTCATAAACGCGTAATATCGCTTGTTTTTTACTTGTAACGTTTCATCCAACCATAGTGGTAGCGGCCACCTGGCATCTTGAGGTGGGTTGTGAATGAATGAATGAATGAATGAATGATTGATTGATTGATTAAAGCTCAGGGACATTTTAGAGAAGCGAAACTAAGCAATTTTTAAGATTTAGACAAGTTACTTCTAGAATATGTGTCTTGCTTTTTAAAGCACGTTTTGGAGGCTGTAGAATTGCCTCGAATTCCAGGCCAGCCTAGAACTACATAACAAGGCGAGCCAGAGCTACATGTAAGACTCTCAGAAAGAACCAGAAGCACTGTTTGGAAGAAACGTGCCAAAGCCGTTCCGAGTGCTTTTTAAAAGGCCTCCCCTATTCATGGCTACCCCTCCACAAGTGTGTTTATGTGTAGAAATAAAGACACGAGCCCACCCCCTTTAGTTTCTGGTGTTGGTAGTCACTGGTTGAACTCACAGTTCTGTGGGTAAATACCAGTGCTTAAACATTGATTTTCATCAGAGTTAGGGGACACATGCTAGTTGTCATATCTGTCCAAGAACTGTTTGGAAGACATCTTTTTTATTTAGTCTCTGGCTCTGTTCTGAGGTCTGAAAAGAAACAGTGGAAGCGGGGTTTTGGAGAACATTCAGTCAGTTGCTACATATTTATTGATAAAACTAGAAAGCCTACTGTTTACTTGCTCACCAAAGAGCTCCTTACTGTCCCAGCATTTTAATGTATTATCTGTTCCTTAGTGGGAAACATTCCTTATGAAGCTACTGAAGAACAGCTGAAGGACATCTTCTCTGAGGTTGGACCTGTTGTTAGTTTCAGGTGAGATCCTCTTTTAAGATATTCATGGGAGATCCTTAAAAATCACCACAGATTTTGTGATAAATATACATGCTTTATTATTCAGATCCAGTCTTAGCTGAAAGATTTCTTTCATTAAAAATGTTTCAAAAACACAAAAGCAGAATTAGAAGGGTATCTTTTTTTTTTTTTTTTTTTTGATTTTTCGAGGCATGGTTTCCCTGTAGTTCTGGAGCCTGTCCTGGAACTAGCTCTTGTAGACCAGGCTGGCCTCGAACTCACAGAGACCCACCTGCCTCTGCTTCCCGAGTGCTGGGATTAAAGACATGCATCACCACCGCCCAGCCTTGGAACTCATTCTTTAGCCAGGCTGGCCTCAAACTTATAAAAAGCTGCTTGCTACAAGGGTATCTTACTGTGGGCTAAATTCAAACATGCCAATGTTAGCAGGAAGTCAGTCTGTACGTATGTAGTATTTGTTCCTGATACTTGGTTTTGCTCTTCAGATTGGTATATGATAGGGAGACAGGAAAACCAAAGGGTTATGGCTTCTGTGAATACCAAGACCAAGAGACGGCGCTTAGTGCCATGCGGAACCTGAACGGTCGCGAATTCAGTGGGCGAGCACTTCGAGTGGATAATGCTGCCAGTGAAAAGAACAAAGAGGAACTCAAAAGTGAGTATAAATCCAAACCATATCCATTACAAGTTACTGAAGATGAGGCAATGCAAGTTTTCCATTTGTGATTATGCTTTAGAAGATGCTGAGGGTGGTTAGCCCCTGAGGTACCTGAGTGTATTTACCTGATATGTATGTTTAAGCAACTTGGCTTTAGAAATCCTTCTCTTCCCTAGGAGTTGGTTTCCAGTTTAAGGGGAGTTCAGGTCCACCAAGCCTAAAGGCAGTTCCACAAATCCTTGAAATTAATGTCTTTGTCTGTTTAAATGCTTTTCTTCTGAAGTGACTTGTCAACGAAATCAGTAATGGCATTATCATTGTGTCGGCTGTCCTCTAAGAGCAGAAGGTATACTGTCACTGTCCTTTGCTGACTTTTCCTTCCGTGACTTACTTTTCAGTTCCAGAGTTTCAAGTTACGGTTGGTACTCACAGACACTCTGGAAAATAGACACTTGAAATGACTTAAGGTGTTATTTTGCCTTCCTAACTTCGTTGTTTGCTTTCTTCCTAATCAGGCCTTGGCACTGGTGCACCAGTCATCGAGTCACCTTACGGAGAGACCATCAACCCCGAGGATGCCCCTGAATCTATTAGCAAAGCAGTTGCTAGTCTTCCACCAGAACAGATGTTTGAGCTGATGAAACAGATGAAGGTGGGAGGAGGCATTTGGTTATAAACAAAACAATTTATATTAGCTTTTCAAGGAGTTAATGAACATGGGCTTAAGTAATTGAGTCTGTAGACACTACGTCTTCCACGTTTTATACACAGAGCTGTTTTTATACACAAACAGTCCTGCCCAAACTGTCCAGCATTTTCCGTGCCCCCATATATGTTAAATTATAGCTTTGCCCATAAGTGATAATATTACCATATTATAAGTACTTTTTCTTGCCTGCCATGGCCAAGATTTTTTTTGTTCAATGTCAAAATCACTGCTAAATCACCAGGTGTTGTGCTAAATCCCATGATGTTGTGTGCCTTAGTATCACCACTTGGGATGCTGAGGCAGAAGGGTCACAGTGAGTTCAATACCAAAATGGTATACATGAAACATTGTCTCATAAAGAAAATCAATAGTAATTGAGATTGTCTTGAATATTACATTTATGAGATGAAATGGCTCAAATCATTATCAGATTCTTAGTATTGACCCTGAAGGTGAATTTTCTTACCTTCTCAGCTCTGTGTCCAGAATAGTCCCCAGGAAGCACGAAACATGTTGCTTCAGAATCCTCAGCTGGCGTATGCTTTGCTACAAGCACAGGTAGTGATGAGAATTGTGGATCCTGAGATTGCCCTGGTGAGTGCTTCTGATTCTTATATGGAAATAGTAGGATATTCTTTGAGTGGGATAAGAACTGCCTGATTGGCTTGTTAAACAGACAGCTCATAGATATATCTTTTCATTTTTTAGAAAATTCTGCATCGCCAGACAAATATCCCAACGCTGATTTCAGGCAACCCTCAGCCAGTCCATGTTGCTGGGCCTGGCTCAGGACCCAATGTTTCAATGAACCAGCAGAATCCTCAGGCCCCTCAGGCTCAATCTTTGGTAGGGTTTTATTCTACAGTATTTTTTTTTATCTGTCTTAAAATGTTATTTTCTTTCCAGGGGAATATTGAGAGAAGAAACAGCAGGAATCAGAGCTGGTAATTAAAATTCTTAGGCATAAGAGAAATTTCCAGATTGCAGAACACATGCTACCTGAAAGAGTATAGATTCCATTCCAAACTAATAAAATAGAGACCCTTCTTGTAAACCCTTTTCTAGTAAGCTAATTTTTTGTGGGTGTGTATACCTGCCACTGTGATTATCACTTTAGTATTCCTTGTTATCTCATTTCATCTGCATAGCAGCAAAATGAGGCAAGCATTTTTACTGCCTCCATTCTCAGCAATAACAAAGGACCAAGCACATATTCAAAAGCATGATTGTAACCCTCTAGACATAAAAATTTAATACATCTAAAGGTTGACCTTTATATAAAGAAAAGGAACTAAACACTAAAGACGAAATGGGAAAAGGATTTGTCACACATATGATGGGCAAAAGATTAATTCTAAATAAAGAGTATTTAGAATTGAGTGGTCATGATCAAAGATGTCTATTGCCATATAATAGTAGCAAATATTACGAACACATGAAATGTTCATTAGTGAATGTTGTAATAAGAGCAGCGGGCTGCTTCCCGCTACCCGGCTAGCTTTACCCAAAATAATTACACGGAAACTGTATTCTTTTAAACACTGCCTGGCCCATTAGTTCTAGCCTCTTATTGGCTAGCTCTTACATATTGATCTAACCCATTTTTAATAATCTGTGTAGCCCATGAGGTGGCTTATCAGGGAAGATCTGTCTGGAGTGGGAGAATCATGGCGACTCATTGACTCAGCTTTCTTTCTCCCAACATTCTGTTCTGTTTACTCTACCCACCTAAGGGTTGGCCTATCAAATGGGCCTAGGCAGTTTCTTTATTAATTAACCAATGAAAGAAACAGATTAGAAAGAAATCACTCCCACATCAAGTGAAAAGTGGAGAAAATTTGGTATATATCCAATGGAAAACTTTAAACAGTTAAGTAAACTACATGTATGAATAGAAATGACCTTTAGAAACCTAATGCCATATAACATTAAGGTGGGCAAGAATATGTGGTATCAGCACAGATAACTCAAAAATATAATGGCATACAGAAAGTAAAATTAAGTAAATATGGAAACATTTTCCGTATGGATATATGTATTAGCATAAGTTCTCAAACTTTGAAATGCAAAAATAGTTCAATATTTATAAGTATGTTTTAAAGATTTATGTTATGTATATATGATTTTATGCATATATGTAAGTACACTGTGCATGAAGCGTCCAAGGAGGCCAGAAGAGGATGTCAGTGTTCCTAGAATTAGAGATACAGACTATTTTGAGCTTCCATGTGGATGCTGGGAATAGAACCCAAGTCCTCTGCAAGCGAAACAAGTGTTTATAAGCATTGAGACATCTTTCAAGCCCAAATATAAACATTTTAAATGTGTATAAGAATTCTGAGTAGTTATTTAAGGAGTAGAAATATGAGGTGTAGATGAAAGCCACATAGGAAGTTATGTTGTTTATATTTTTATATCTCTATTTTTCTTTTTTTTTTCTTTCTTTTGGTTTTTTTGGGACAGGTTTCTCTGTGTATCAGTCCTAGCTGTTACAAAGTCCTGGAACTCCCTTTGTAGACCAGGCTGACCTCGAACTCACAGAGTTCTTTCTGCCTCCCAAGTGCTGGGATTAAAGGTGTGCACCACCACCACCCGGCTGTATCTCTTTTTCATAAGCAAAAAAGCTTATAAATTATTTTTAAAAATACCAAAATGAATTGTAAGCATAAACAGTTCACAAAACTGAAATTAAGTATTCAGTCTAAAAATACAAACTAAAATAAGCCACAATTTTTCACCTCCTGGGTGGGCCGAGGTAAATGTGGATGAATCCGATGATGGTATAAGGCAAAAATTTGTAAATATTTTCTTAGGAAACTCAGTAAATATCGTTGCCTTTAAAAGCTCTATCATTTCTGTAATGTGAGCTAATATGTAAACGTATCTGATTGTATTCCAGGAAAACCTTACTTATAAAGCCACTGGTAGGAACAGGCATGGTGGTGCTGTAATCTTAGCTCTTGTAAGATGAAGGCAGGTAGATCAGGATTCAAGGTCATCCTTGGCTTCTCTGATTGTATTCCAGGAAAACCTTACTTATAAAGCCACTGGTAGGAACAGGCATGGTGGTGCTGTAATCTTAGCTCTTGTAAGATGAAGGCAGGTAGATCAGGATTCAAGGTCATCCTTGGCTACTCTGATTGTATTCCAGGAAAACCTTACTTATAAAGCCACTGGTAGGAACAGGCATGGTGGTGCTGTAATCTTAGCTCTTGTAAGATGAAGGCAGGTAGATCAGGATTCAAGGTCATCCTTGGCTACCTAGCAAAACTGAAGCCTCTCTGGGATATTTGAGACCCTACCTCCAAAAAAAGAAACCAAGACTGGGGGACTGCAAATGGTTCAGAAAATAAGGGTGCTTACTATCTGGCCTGACAACCTGAGTTCAATCACTGGGGGACACATTATGGAAGGAGAGAATGTATTCCTGTAAATTGTCCTCAAGTGTGCCATAGTATATACACACACACACTGGATGGATGGATGGATGGATGGATGGATGGATGGATGGATGGATGGATGGATGGATGACAAGATGGCTCAATAGATAAAAGAGCTTATTGCCACACCTGACAACCTTAGTTCAATCCCCAGGAGTCATATATAGTGGAAAAAGAAAACTTATGCAAGTTGCCTTCTGATCTCTGACCTCCACATGCGTGCTGGGGTGTACATGTGGACACAAAAAAATTTGAGGTATATATATGAATGACAGGGTCTCTATATGGCTTTGGGACAGTCCTAGAAATCACTATGTAGACCAGGCTGACTTCGTAACTCACAAAGATCCACCTGTCTCTGCCTCCTGAATGCTGGGATTAAAGGTATGCACCACTATTCCTGGCTTGAAAAAAAAATTAACTGGTTAATAGGTTAGCCAAATTTGGTGATACATACCATTAATCCTAGCACTTGAGAGGCAGAGAGCAATGCGGTGGTTGTGCACACCTTTAATTGCAGAAATCGGGAGGCAAAGGCAGGTGAATCTCTGCCTGGTCTACCCAGTGTTCGGGACAGCCAATACTGTTGCATAGAGAAACCATGTCTTGGGGGAGGAGTTCTATTTTTAGTTATTGTTGTAAACCTCTAAAATGAACCATAGAGAAAAGCAGTGATATATAAAGACAAGTTAAAAAATATATAAGGCTTTGAATATCCACTAGAGGTCTTGAAATGTATCTGAATAAAACTGAAGAGTGCCAGTATTTCACTCCCTTTACCATCACCACTCACAATGATAAGGTCAGGGGTGAACATGTGAACCAGTCATGAGCTATTGGGATCCATGCTGTTTTGGACTTTATCCAACAGGTAAACCACTGCTGTTGCTTTAAGAAGCAGCCGATATGAGAAGCATCTCTACTCTGAATCTCATTCGTCACTTTATTAGTAAACTGTTGTACTATATACAGACTGCAGAGACACGCAGAAAGGGTAGGATAGTACTGAACTCAGACTCCAAACTGAGTTTGATTTTTAAAAAACTTTATTTTTTGCAGTTCTTTACGTTCCAAAGATGTGCATAGTTCTCTATGGAATGCCTCATGAAAAGATTACATTCCCTTTCTCTCACGCAATTTAATGTATCATTTACAAATTATATACACATTCAAGAAAGTTACATCCAAGGACAAATTATTAAAGCTTGAAATTTTTTTTCATAAACAATTTTTTTCATGAAAATACAGTACGAGCAAGATTTTTTTGAAGTCCCAGTCCCTTTTTTGTCTTAAACATAAGGTACATTTTCAACTTATTTTTTTAACTTTTTTTAATTAATTTATTTATTTATTAAAGATATCTGTCTCTTCCCCACCGCTGCCTCCCATTTCTCTCCCCTTCCCCCAATCAAGTCCCCCTCCCTCATCAGCCCAAAGAGCAATCAGGGTTCCCTGACCTGTGGGAAGTCCAAGGACCACCCACCTCCATCCAGGTCTAGTAAGGTGAGCATCCAAACTGCCTAGGCTCCCACAAAGCCAATACGTGCAGTAGGATCAAAAACCCATTGCCATTGTTCTTGAGGTCTCAGTAGTCCTCATTGTTCGCTATGTTCAGCGAGACTGGTTTTAACCCAGGCTTTTTCAG